GTGTGTGTGCACTTTGGATGGGATAAATGCAGAGCACTAATTCTGAGTATGGGTCACCATACTTGGCCACATGTCACATCACTTTTTTACATGCTGATTTTCAGGGCACCTGTGAAGTAAACACACAACAGTACATTCCGAATAGTGCTGACCAAACATGCTGGATGACATAGTTTTTCTGGTGCATTTTATATCTGGTACTTTTCATGCAAATATTTCTTTGTGCTACAAAAGAGGAATGTGATGCAAAGGCTGCCACAACAGTTTTTAAATATATGAGCTTAAAAGTGGTGTAATAATGAATTTTATGCTAATTAAGTTGGGTATGCTAATTCTTATGAACACAAAGTATGTGACAAAAGTATGTACTTTACCATCCTTAGTGAAGTATGTATTTGTATATGTAGAGCGTAGTATCAGAGTCATTATAGTTAACTGAAATAATTTTTAAAAATCCCCCCAAATTTTTTTACATTTATTTTATTTTTACCTGTTTTCATTGTTTAAATATTTAGTAATGTAGTAAAATAACTAAAACAAAAATAAAATAAAATAAAAATGATTAAAATATATAGACATATTCAAAAAACGAATAAATTATAAAACATTTAAAACTAATAAAAATGACAAAAGCACATAACACAATTACTAAAACTAAAATTAATACAGAAAATATAAAAATAAAAGCTCATTCAAAATATGAATAAATTCTACAATAGTGTAGGGTTAATTTAGGATAATTGAATGATTTTTTCCTAGTCATCTCAAAGGCAAAAAGTGTCCCAATTTACTTGAATCCACCCTATAAATAATAACGCTGATCACTCACACTTGCAGTGAAGGAGTGAAGAATTCTCAGTCTTCTGGAATGTTCTTTGCCTTCCTCTAACATGTTGTAGATCCAATCTGGCCACAGCCATGGTGCTCTCTGTCTCTTGGTGATGATGTCACTCATTCTGCGGGAAGAATATAAACACTGTCAGAGAGAACAACATATCTCTATTTATTAGCAAGAACATATGCTCTACCACTGAAGTACACTACTTACTTATAGACACTTTGCACATACTCAGAGTCAGAATTGCTCTGAGCATAGATCTTCTTTCCCATTGCAGTTTCTGTTGCCAACACACACATCCCATGTATCATCAATAGTTATTATAACTAAACAATAAGCATAAGGCCTTTTACATTAGCATGCATGTACAGTAGCAGTATGCAAACAGCAAAACCCCATATTGTGCTATCACACTATATGGAAAGACTGAATGTACTGTACCACATATGATGTCCAAAGCACATAATGTTATGTAGCTAAAGCAGTTGAATGGCTCTCCGTCTATGTGCTTCTGCATCTTTTGAATCAAAATATCGGTTTGTTCATTCATCACCTCTAGGAAGTCAGAGAGGATGGAGAAGTGGAAGGTTGGAGTCAGCATTTTCCGCCGGTTACGCCACTTCTCCCCTGTGCTGTTGGAAGAAAAGTTGGGAAGAGTCAAGTCTGTGACCTCAACATGGCTTCACTACTGTAAAGTGAACATGGAGATCATTTTATATTCAATTTCGGTGTTTCTGGACTCTGCTGCATTTGGACAGATGGTCAGTGACCCTGTGTCCAGCGTGGCTGATTATAAACTACTGTGCTTTTGATAGACTTTGTTTGCAGTGCTTGATGCAAGCTGCTTTTGAATATGAGATATGAGATCTGCCAGTTTGGCAGGTGGTCCTCTACCGTATGTGAAACAAAGTTTAGTTTGACTTTAAATGTTATGACCTTTGAAGGACAGGATTGCAGCTTTTTTAAGATAACAGAGAGATATAAGACAGCAGTACTCTTAAAACTAGTTAAATATTAAGCGTGGTATCATTTCTAGCATCGCCAGTTGCAAATATAACAATGTTTTTACACATTATGTTAAAATTCTGGGTATGATGATTATTGTTCTGGACACTCATTTATTCAGGTAAAACAATAAACCTTTAACATTAATACTGCTCAACATATAAGCATAAATATAACCATAATAACATAGGAATGTATTTAACAAGTTTTTTTTTTAACATTTGTTTTTCACAAAACTGTATTTTAGATTTTTTTTTTAAATGTAATTTTTTTTTTATTTAGATATATTTTTGGTGGTTTTCTGAAGCTCAAACACAATTGTGCCGATATGCAAGATGCAAATGCACATGCATGAACTGATTTACACCTTCAATGCAGTGTACATTTCTTAGTCTGCCAAATACTGTACAGTACATAAATGTAAAAACCCTCAGAAAGTACTGAAATAACAAAATAAATATATTTTTTAAAATACTTTATTTATTTATTTTTCATTTTGGGTTTATGCACCTGCCTTTAACCATGATTTTTTTTCCAAACACTCCCCTCATCTACAATTGGTCGAAGAAAGAGATAATCCCGCCCCAAACTCACTCAATTGGTTAAGCCACTATTGCTGTGTCAAGCTGGTCAGATGCTCAAATAAACAAAGTCACAGTGTTTACACATGTTGGGTAAAATTAGTCTACAAATGAATGGCTTTCTTACAGTTTGTCTATTATTAAACTATATTAAGATGGAAGAAACTATTTAACTGAATTTACCCTATTCATCTACATAATACTTCTACAAATCATGTATTATGTTAACAGTATGCATTACAACAGACTGTAAACAGACTGTTTTCACAAAAACTGGTGGTAAACCCACCGTAGGCCTACCTGGTGAGCAGGCCTGTGCCGAGCCAGGGGTGCAGGAACCTGTATGAGTATGACTTGTCTAGGTGTCTAGAATTACTGAGGACCACCTGATGGGAAAACATAGGTTTGAGAATGAACTGGCAACTGTGAGGAAAATTATACAGAAGTAAATGGAAAGGATAAAATTTCAGAAACAGGCACCTCAATATTCTCTGCGTGATACAAGATCAGAAAGGGGACTGGACCCACCCACACCTTTGCTAGAGGAAGGTGTCTGTTTTCATTTGTGCCCTCAATAATCTGGTTGAAAAAATCTTCAACAGAAACACACTCTTATAAAATTGCAGTGTTAAATGATCGTTGTTAATTAAGAGTTGATGCTACTCAAAAAGAACAGTCTCTTACCGCCTGCATTGGTTTTAAACTGCAGTGCATTGCCAATGATTGGATAAGCGCCCGGCATTCCTGGAATTGGTCTCATTTCGTTCCATTTTCCTATATAATTTTTAAGTGGATGATATGTAGTAGATGCTAAAAGGAGTAAAAGAATGGCTGTGAATATAATCCCCAAGATGTATAATCCAAAAAGGACACCCATTTTGTTTGGACGAAGCTGGCCGCAGCTAATGCTCTGAAAGAAGCGCACAGGCTGCTTCACTGTGAACTTCAGACTTAACTGATTCACTTGCTTAGTACAAACAGAGAGAGAAAAAACACCCTAGGCTGATCAAACAGATGGCGTTATGATACATAACTGGGACGCATGCAGGTTATCTGTGGGTAAAGTGCCTCTCGCTAAAACATTAACAGACAGCAGTGCTAATGCAGCAATAGATAATGATCTGGCATATTATTGGTGGATATTTTGTGTGTCTGTTGTTTGTGTGTGTTGTGGTTTACTGGCACACATTCTGCTGTCTTTCTCCCACGAAAGAGCTCTGCCAAGTCTTTTGTTAAAGATAGAAAAGCACCTTTTACCCTGAATAGCCAATGGATTTAATTCTTCAAAATGATATTAAAGTATGATATTAGTGCGAAAATATTACCAATATTATTGGTGAAAATGAGACTTTTTTGATATTATTGTTAAGAAATTCAGGGAACAAACGTCTAATACTCTCTGTTGATCGCTGTGATATATCACTGAACCTTTGCCAAATTATATAACAATTTTATTGCAAATGACTCCACCAAGCAGATAAAAGTCTCAATAAAATGTTACTGAACCAAACAGTTTGGTAGAATTGCTATCACCGAAAAAGAAATAATTAGGCTATGAATCATTTTTAATCAACCTGTTGGCCGCAGACATCTATTTAAGCAGTAAAAACAAATACATATTATACTTTACATGATAAATGCATTAACTTACAATAACAAAAGATGTTTGGCATTCATCCTTCATAATTTTATAAAAGGAAATACCGGGGATGCTCCAGATGTTGAGGTCAATGTGAAGTCCATAAACTGTGACTGGACATCAGGTAACAAATTATACATTGAATCACAATCAAGTGATATTATGACAGTGCATATCAGTCAATAGTATTCATTATGTCTGGCTCATTAAGCTCTTTCGTGTAATTACAAAATTAACTACCCTGCTATTGCATGACAGGCTGAAATTTCTTCCTCACATACACTGGAAACCGGCTCAGCTGTTTCCGATGATTCTGGCCACCTGAAAGCAGACGGTATTGATGATTTACTCAGACTTGATGAAATATTTTCATTATGTGAATCTCTTCTCTACCAGGACTGTGCGTTATTGAACACGTTAATTAATCTCCAGTGTCTTGTAAATTGTAAATACAATAATTCTTTCAAAGAACTCACAAATATTCCTTTTAATTAAAACCCCTCTGTCATTGCTTATTTTTCTGGATCATTTATTTGTTGATTCTATGCAGTCTATGGAGTATAGACTGCAAAGTTAATTGGTTCAGGATAGAATTGTATATTAAGTAAACATAAACAAAGGGCAACTGATTTAAACTGTGACATTAACTAATAAAATGTTGTTTTTATATTAAATTAAAAATAATAAGCAGTAGCGCACTGACCTGTAGAGCCGAGCAGGGGCATGTTCCCTCCGTCTCCATCAGCGCAGGGTAGTCGCCTCCTGCTGGGTGTGATACACTCCAAGAACCCACTAGCTGTAGAGCTGGTGATGCCCATACTGAAGCCTGTCACTCCCATAGCTGTGCTCTCACCTAAGAGACATACAGAAAAAGCTTACACTGTCATCTTATTTTTCTTATATGACTTATTTTTAGGAAGTAAAAATGTAGAAGGCAAATCCACGTTACTGTATGTTTGTGTTGTTCCTCCTGCCACTGGCCAGATCAGGCACATACTTTGTACAAGTGACCCACCTTTGACAAGTCTTTGACTTGTCCTCATGTTACAGGCAAAATCCATGGGTGTGAAGGACCTTTTCATAGGGGTGTCGGACTACAGAACAAAAACATGGCATGAGTTACGTCTAACAATAGACTCCTCCGTATTTACCTCCTATTTCGAGCACTGTTACTACAGCAGTGTCTGAACCAGGAAAGTATCTATATCACTTCCTTGTCGGAGGTGGTGTCATGTTTCGACAAAGTTGTGTAGAAATGCAGTTTTGGTTTTGTTCTGTATTAAACTGCTGGTCACCTATAGCTATAACTGCCTAACATCTGATATCACAATGACTACTCCTGACTGTACGTGTACGTCGTCAAGACTTCTCTTCAATGTATGCATTGTCATCTGCAATGTATGCTGTTTTCATCCACACTACTGTACTGTAATCATAATTGTAGGGTAGATTTACTCTGAATGTGTGAGTAGTATTGGGCCGAGACAGCGACTCCAGCATAAGGGTGGGTTCTCTCAAAGGTGGGAGGTTGTTTACTGCGTGCATGACACTGGTAGCGCCGCCTCTTAGGATCCTTCCTCTGAGCTAAGAAATACAGAGAATGATTACAGCTTTGATTCTGTGCAGACGGAATGGCCAACCATCTTTAAATACACCTTTACTTACACAGATTGTTTTTTGATATTTTGAATTTTCTGTAAAAGGGCAAAGGGCAACCATGTTTACTGTTTCCAAAGTCAAGTCAGCCAGTTTGCCCCTTTCACCCATTTAAAAAACCGCTGCTATCTCTGTTTATAGAGATCAAAGTCCACACAGCTAGCTTTTATTTAATGGGATGCTGAAACACCTTTCTGCTTGTGAATTTACACAAAAGTTGTGTACAACTGTGGAAAGGTTTCAGATAGTTTTCACCATGATGTCAAATAAATTAAAATCTAATTCAAATGAGATAGCTATGCAAATATTCTTTTTTTTTGAGAAAAGCAAATGTTTAATCACTATAATACATGCTTCTCAAATAACAAAAAAAATAAACATTTATGAATTAATATAACCACTCCATCTGTCTGCAAGCACATAATTGTGGGATAACATTAACCATGAAGAACATATGTTCTGTCTTTAAAACCCAACCAGATGAAGTCATCTTTGTAGACAAGATGTTACATAAACATTTGATGCCTACCTAACGCATACACTGCTTGAAAATGCCATTTTTTTCAGGTTTTGAAAAGTCATATCTTGATGGTTGGTCAGTGGTCAATTTGGTTTCAATAGAGGTGTGAATGACAAGGTTAACATAGACTTTATCACTTATAACTAGCATAAGGCAGTGGCAAACGTTAAACCCATCAGATTGTGTTTGTGAAATATGTATGTTTCATGTATGTACACTACCATTTAAAATCAGGGGTCAGTCAGATTTGTAATGTTTTAATATTTTAATAAGTCTTATGTTCCCCAAGGCTGCATTTATGTTATTAAAAATACAGTAAAAATAGAAATATTGTGAAATATTATTACAATTTAAAATAGATTTTTTCTATTTGAATATATTTCAAAATGTAATTTATTCCTGTTATGGCAAAGCTGAATTTTCAGTAGCCATTACTCCAGTCTTCCGTGTCACATGATCCTTCAGAAATCTTTCTAATATGCTGATTTGCTGCTCAAGAACATTTCTAAAAATTACCAATTGTTAAAACAGTTGTGCTGCTTAATATTTTGTGGAAACTGTGAAACATTTTTTCAGGATTCTTTGATAGATAGAAAGTTCAAAAGATCAGTATTTATTAGAAATAGACATTTTTAAACAGTGTAAATGTCTTTCATTTTTATATCAATTCAATGCATCCTTGCTGAATAAAAATATTCATTTATTTCAAGAAGAAAAAAAAATCTTACTGACCCCAGACTTTTGAAAGGTAATGTATGTAAGTGTTAATAAAAATAAATAAATCAAGGTGGTGACACATGAATCTCTTCAGATAAGGCAGATCAATAGTCTGCTGGCCACAGTGATGCCAGTGTGGCTTGTTACCTGCATAAGCCTGGAAATAGGTGCATAGTATTCTTGCTCTTGAGACTCAGAGTGTATCTGAGGAAGCCTGTGACTCTGAACGGCACTTACTGGTGGAGAGGGCAGGCTTTCATTCACAGTGGATCTGCAAGAAACAAACCCAAGAACACAAAGTTACTCTAATTAGCAGTCTGCATGTTTACTCATTCTTGATACCCCTGCAGGAGCTCAAGGCTACTTCTGTGATTTTTCCAAGTGATGACAAGGTTAAAAGTGTTACAATTAATAAGGTGCAGTGCAGCTTGAGGGACCAATTTAACAAGCGCTTTTAAAAGAAGTCTGCATTTCAAAAGAATGCCTCGGCTTGTTATAACAGGACCCCAGTAGACCTTGCATTGAATAATCTGCAGCCACATATTCTGAAAGAGTTGCATCATGCATAAAGGAGTTGCTGCAACAGAACCTCTCATATCACATTCTTTACGTAAAACTTGTGAGAATAGAAAATGGTGCACGCAGAGGTATAGTTCACCCAAAAATTTTAAGAGGAATTAAGAATTTACAAAGAAATTGTGTAAAGAAATTACACTTCATGCAGTTACAATGAATGAGGACTACAGCTTTCAAGCTTCAAAAAGAATATGCTACAAAAGTGTCATAAAAGTGGCCCATATGTTTTGTGCATTACATTCTAGAGCCATATGATAAACAGACCAGGGTCATTAATTACAGTCTCCCCCTCCAGGGAGCTGTTGACCACCTCAACTGGATCAGTGAGTCAGAGAGCTGAACTTAAGAGCTGAATTGGTATGATTTGTTAACAAATCATTCAGACCAGTTTTTGTGAACTGTATGAACTGATTCAAATGCAAATATCTGACTCAAAACAACAATTAGTTCACAATTTGTTAAATTGAGTTGGATAATAACAATTGTCTTCTATAGAGCTGCTTTATAGCTGAATCAAATTTGTTTTCGTAAATAATTAAATCTGTATCATTAACACTCTTAATGAACTGTTATACCGCTGTGGCCCAGTAAAATACTACTGATAAATCCTTATGTGACAATTGGATTTATGTACAGTTTACCGACCTGAGAATACATTTTATTTGATAATATTTCAACAATCATGTCATATGTGTTTTCTATCCGCTGTTTTAGTGCTGGGCGGTATGACCAAAAATGTATATCACGGTATTCTATGTAAAAAAAGCCGCTAAAATGGGTCTGAAAGTTGCTAAATCTAGTGCTAAAGTCGCGCTCGTGTTTGTGAGACGCGGGAGCTGATGGCAGGGGGCGGTGGATATTTGTGGCGGTCAGTGTGGATATTGTGGATGAGTTCTTCTGTGTCATCACGTTCTATTAGTTCTACAGCTTCAGTTTCGGAACTTTCACGCTTAGTAACACATACAGCTGTTCCCTCACCACAGTGCAACAGTGAAAAGGGACCCCTTTCAAACAGTGTCGCGTGCGGTATTTTAAAAATAAACACCGGTATTCGGTATGAACCGGTATACCGCCCAGCACTACGCTGTTTATAATCAGAAATAGTGATGCCAAATTCACAAATAAATCAATCTTTTGATCTAATTGGTCAAATGTATTTGCAGAGCTGAAACGGTTCGAGGTTCAGTTTGATTCATTCAGTCAGTTCACATATTTGCAGTGGTTTCTCACACCGGAATAGTAACAGGATATTTTATGAGACAGAAATCAAAACGAGCGCTGATTGAGGTGGATATTTACCTATAATTCATTGCACTTGTAAATGTCACTTACAAAGCAGCTCTTTATTACATGCACAGTTGTGAACAATTCTGTACTGCAGATTGCACGATTTATATCAATTTATATCCAAAACAGTATTTAAAAACAATATAAAAATAAAGGCACATTTTTTGAGTGTGGGCCTGTGCCTCTGTAATAGTAAAAGGCTAGAAAGGCCCCAGTTCATAACTAATGAACTTTGCAACATTAACACCGTTATTGAATAATGACACTATTTTCTTTTTAGAGCTGCTTTACAGCTGAAATCACATTTCATAATTTAAGTACTTTAAAACATTAATGCTGTTATTTATTACTGTGAAGCTGCTTTGAAATCTGTATTGTATAAAGCTTTATATAAATGTGAAAAAAAAAAATGAAACGAATTAGATATCACTACTTTTTTCATTCACTTTCAAGATCAACTAGGGATAATAAATGGTGTGTCAATATTATTAATGAATAATTACTTTAATTTAATTAAGCTACTCCACACTAAGTTATCATATGGCTTTCAAAACTTAGAACATTGTGCAAAATTCACGTGGACTACTTTTATGACACGTCTATGATGCTTTTTTGTTATATTAAAGCTTTCTGTTTGTGTTCCACAAAGGAAAGAAAGTCATATGGGTTTGGAACAACATGTTCCAGTTCCTTTAATCATGTGTGCAGAGTTACAGCTCACAGTCTAGTTCCTCGTAAGATTTGGCTTCCGTTTCCTGTGAGGTTGTGGAACATTCGAACCCTGCCACTGAGTCTGGGGAGTCTGCGCTGGGCTGTGGGTTTCTGTATGAGTATACCGGACCCTCTCAGAGCCTGAGTCTTCACACACATCAACATGCTCGCTCCATCATCTGGGTCATACCTTAAGAGGAGCCAAGACAGATCACGTTCAGAAACAAGTCTTCAGTTGTTTTCATACTGATTTATCTGTAGTTAATATATTCCTTAATTCTGTTCCTTATTAAATTGTCTTTAAAAAATAGATATAGCAATAGAAAAACTGTTTTTGCAGGGTTAGATTTTGACTTGCCAAACTCCAAAAGACTTACAGGGCTCTCTCAGTAAATCCCTGATGTCTCTGTTGCAGTGGCTTTGCTTGGATTGTCATAACACCGTTTAAATTAATCTTGTAGGCACTTGAGACCTGACAGAAGAAATGACACATTCATAACACGAGGGCAAAGTAACAGGCAGGACTTCATCTTTGCAGCAAAACGCATCATGTTTTGGTAGGTTGTCACCTGTACATTATTGCTGCATGTTGACAGGAATGTGGTTCTGCTGCTGGAACCTCTGGATAACAGAAGATGATGTCCTTTAACTGGGAGTTGAGATGAAGGCGCTTGACTGGAGCTCTCTAATGTCCTCCTCTGCATTGCTCCATCTGATGCCAAAAAGAACATTAGGGATTTAAGGAAATCTCCAACAGTGCACTTAACTTCTGGCAGATTAGCAACTGAATTTCATTTTATTACTCCAAAATGCCATAGAGTAACACAAACAGGCATGGGGACAAACACAGTTCATGCTGATGCCTCAAGAATCCTATCATTGTTGAGTTTTTATCATTAATCATTATTTGTTACAATTTTTTAAAACATTTTTACATATTGTTTACAAGCTTACAACCATTTGAAATGCTTTGAAAAGGACAATTATCCTGCGCTGATGTATTTCCCATTGAAATTGAAGTTGAACATAAAGTTAGTGTGGGCCATATCAAAATGTTCACCCATTTTGATCAAAGTTTCCACAAAAATGTTAAGCAGCTCAACTGTTTTTTACATATATAATAATATTAAATGTTTCTTGAGCAGCAAATCAGCCTATTAGAATGATTTCCTGAAAGATCATGTGACACGGAAGACTGGAGTAAAGATGCTGAAAATTCAGCTTTGCCATCACAGGAATAAATTACATTTTATAATATAATAAAATAGAACAACATTTTTTAAAATTGTAACAGCGTTTCACAACATTAATTTTACTGCATGTTCGATCACATAAACGCAGCCTTGAGACTTTTCAAAACCAAAAAATCTTACCAACTCTAATTTTTTTAACTGTATTGTACATACATGGTCTAAAAGCTACAAAACTCCACTTAAGGGGTCTTTAAGTATGCAAAAGCTGTGTTGTGGTTCTTCACCCACCAGGATCTAATGATCAAACATGTACTGTTGGCTAATTCTGCTGGTTTAGTTATTCAGTAATTCAGACACACCCGGGAGCTGTTTCTCCCAGTACTTGTGTAAGAGCTCCTCCAGAAGGCCCACCACCTCCCTCCATGTGTCATCAAACAGCTCATCTGCAACTGCATCACGGATGCATGCATGAGGGGAAACTGGGGGGACTCCACCCCTGGGGGCCACGGATGAAGACTTCCTCCGATCCACCTCCTCCTCTTCCCTAAAGTCAAAAGAATTACACAAGTTACAACTAAATATTCCCTTCTGACAGAATGCCTTAAAATGGGTGCACACTATTAACAGTCCATTTATGGTGAATAAAACTGCTGCAGATAACAGAATGTAATGAGACAGTACAGCATTTGTAGAATTTAGATCACCAGGCAGTGACTGAATGTCTATTGAAGTGCAAAGAATTTTTTTGCTTCAATGGAAATCAAATGTAAGGTAGACTGGAGCCAATTTTTTCCACAAAGATTACTGAAATCTCACAGTGACTACAATGTTTGAGTCAAAGATCCAATTATTTGGATTTGTTTATTCACAGATTTTTTTTCCCCCCAAACGAAAATTTCAATATTATCATATTTTGGGGCAAGATGTCACATTCCTAATTCATATATGTTATAAACAATTTAAAATTGTATTATATTTGTAAGATAATAGTTTTATATATCTACTATATATATTTCCTTGAGCAGTACCAGCTGAAATGTTCAATAGATTTAGGAACAGCTGAAATGAATAGCTTTTTAGAAGCCAAGAATTTTCAAAAATAAATCTATTCTACGCTGAAAAAATTTCACTGAACTAAAAGGTGTTGACAACTTACCCCAGTCTTCCTTACAATTACGGTTTGTTCATGAAGCAAAGGCAAACATTTATGACAAATTTATGGTATGCTTGCTTATTAATCTAGTATATTAAGTATATGAATTTCAGGAAAAAAAAGTTCTAAGCATTTTGAGTAAAAGATAAATTGTGATGTACATTTCTTTTCCATCATAAGCCAGAAACTCCTCTATGCTGCCCTCTGCTTCATACACCTCCTCTTCCTCATTGAGGTCGAGTGAATGCTCATAGAGACGGGAGCTGGAGCTCCGGACAGACTGCTCACACCAAAGGCCCGGGGCCAGACTGCGGCCTGCTACATACAGCCTGCAGGCAGAGGGAGAGAGAGAGAAATGAGGGAGGAAGCAAATTCTCACCACAGCCAGGCCAGACAGATAAATGCATTGCCTGTGGACACGTTCAGTGCAGTGTCTTCATAACATATTGCATATTTTTTAATCAGGTGAGAGGCCTCCTCCTTGAGGGTTGGTTTTATGTGTTATATCAAATGTATAATGTATGATAGGCTTCAGTGCATATTTCAAAACAAGATAAGTGCAGTCAAGCAAAAAGAAAGAGCTAAGCCCAGGAAACAATCAATAGCGGGAGCCCATTAATCAGGAGATAAAGGACCCCACACATTTTTTGTAAGATTTTTGTAAGAATGACCTTAAAAAGTTCAGGAGTAACTCTAGAGATAAATATAATACTGCGATAAATTATATATAATGACAAGAAATTGTTGAAGAACATTAGTTAAACTTGAACTTGCATCTCTTCCTAAAATCTACATACAGTGCCCTCCACTATTATTAGCTCCCTTGGTAAATATGATCAAAGGTGGCTGTGAAAATAAATCTGCATTGTTTATCTTTTTGATCTTTCATTCAAAAAATTCACAAAATTCTAACCTTTCATTGAAGTAAAACAATTGAAAGTGGGGGGAAACTCACATTATGAAATAAATGTTTTTCTCCAATGCATGTTGTTGGTGATGAAACTAAAAAAAGAGCTTTTTGGAGGACAGATGGGTTTGGTGCAAACAGGGATAAAAAGTACCCCATGCCCACGGTTAAATATACTGCTGGATCTTTAATGTTGTGGGCCTATTTTTCTGCCAGAGGTCCTGGCCATCTTGTTCAGATACATAGTATCATGGATTCTATCAAATACCAACAGATAAAAAATCTAAACCTGACTGCTTCTGTTAGAAATCTTATAATGGGCCGTGGTTGGATATTCCATTAGGACAATGATCCAAAACAAACATCAAAATCAATGTGTCAAATGTGTCACTGAGCACAAAATGAAGCTTCTGTCATGGTCGTCCCAGTTCCCTGACCTGAAACATATAGAAAATGATTAGGGTGAACTGAAGAGAAGAAGCGCCAACATGGAGCTGTGGATCTGAAGAGATTCTGGATGAAGGAATGGTCTCTGGTCTCCCGTCAGGTGTTCTTCAAACTCATCAGGCATTATAGGAGAAAACTCAGAGCTGTGATCTTGGCAAAAGGATGTTGCAATAATTGGGTGCCAATAATTGTGACCAACGTGAACTAGAGAAAAACATTTATTTCATAATGAGATTTTCCCCCAACTTTCCATTGTTTTACTTAAATGATAGGTTACAATTTTGTGATTTTTTTGAATGAACGATCAAAAGAATAAACAATTCAGATTTATTTTCACAGCCACCTTTGCTCATATTTACCAAGGGTGCCAATATTAGTGGAGGGCACAGTATAAATATTATATTATATTATATTATATTATATTATATTGTATTATCCAAAAGTTTGAGGATGGTAAGATTTTTAAACAAGTCTCTTATGCTCATCAAGGCTGCATTTGTTTGGTCAAAATACAGTAAAACAGTAATATCATGAAATATTATATATCATAAACATTTTCTGTTTTAAAATATTTTACATTTTTAAAATTCCCCTTGATGGCAAAAAGAATTTTCAGCATCATTACTCCAATCTTCAGTGTCACATGATCCTTCAGAAATCATTCTAATATGCTTTTATGCTATTAATATTAATGTTGAAAACAGTTGTTCTGCTTAATATTTTTGTGGAAACTGAGATCCTGAACATTTTTCAGGATTCTTGGATGAATAGAAAGTTCAAAAGCATTTATTTGAAATATAAATATTTTGTAACATTATAAATGTCTCTACTGTCACGTTTAGTAAATTTAATGTGTCCTTAAATTTATTTTATGACACCTGACTTGAAGCATTTCATACAAAGAAGGTATTAAATACACTGCAAGCAATCAAATATGTTTGCTTGAAAATAAATGTCTGAGGATTCTATTCTTCCCTAACAAGTTTTACAGGCTTTTTCCAACCATTTACACTGGCCCTTAGCCAGACAGACCTCCATCACAGCTCAATGCCCTAAAAGGAGACTCAAGTAAACTCATTAACTCTCAGTGAACAACTATTAAATGGAACCACATATAAATCACAGAAAACTCTGTATACAGTTCAAACAATGAAATGATCCCTGTTGTGAGTTTTTAAATTCTTAAACCGAAGCAACTAATCAATTAAACGGCATATATTTGAGTAAACAGTAAATCTAACCCATGTATTTTTGTTAATTCAACTGTTATTTCATGTTGTTGAGGGGCTTACTCGCTATGGTCTTCTCTTTTGTCCAGACAGGTGGATGTGGAGAAGGAGGCGGTTCTGGCACTGGACTCTCGTCTGCAGATGTACTGAACACCCTCCTGTTTGGGAGGCTCCAATTGATTCCCTAAAATTCTGTGGTCAATGATGAAACACAACAAGACAGTATCAGCTAGCAGGGTTGTGCAAGCTTTAAAAATTAATTGAACATTCTTTTTCAATACTAAATCAATTACTGAATTTGCTGAAATTTATTTGGATTTAAAGTGGATGAAATAAAGCAATATCAAACTTGGGAAGAAACCAAAATACACAAAATAATGTTCTTTTTAGCAACATCATATGACCCCTTTAATTTGTAAACATTATAAAACTAGCAGTGATGGCTTGGGCAGTTTCTGTGAAGTAAAAAAGAGGCAGCGTTGTGTGATAGTGCTTTTATACAACAATTCAAATTACGTTAGTGTAGAAAACGGCTCAATATTTTTGTGAAAACAGTGATATTTTTCCCCCAGGATTATATGATGAATAGAACTTTTTTATTTAATTTATTGAATTTTGAAATTTAAAATTTACCTAACCCTTTCAGCCACAGAACAGTCAAATTCCTCTCACAAAGGAGCTGTACCTGAGATGGGGGGTATGTCCGTTCCACTCCTCACACTCCTCCTGCAGGGACTCAGAGCGGCTGCTGACTCTCCCCTCATACAACAGCTCATCCACAGAGTTAAAGAGCTGACGCACACGCTGTGTATTCGCCCGCTCAAACTCCTGCACACAAGCCAAACCAAACAATAAACCACTCAGTGCACAAAGCAAAGAATCCCACAGCTGAGGAGATGCATCTAGTGAAGCATTCAAAACAGTTAGACACATGCACTAAAAACAGGAAACTGGGAGTCTTTAAAATGATTCACAGAATAATGCCCTGATGTCTCTTATTGATCTAGCGTTAGTTACCAGGTGCATATTAATTGTAATAAATTGCAATGTTGTATGCTATTTAGAAATTCACTGAGAATTCATGTTACTTTCCAATTTAATTGCTGAACTTCAAGTGAAGTAGCACACAGGATACAGAATTCTAATTTGAATTT